TCTTTGTTAGACACCTATTATGTGCAGGGCACTGTACCTGGGCAAGCACTGTGTTACCTCTCCCAGCTCACCCAGTGCTTTTCATAGAATGGTTGGTCTGGAACTCAGCCTTGGTACAGGCCTAGGCTGATTCTGTCCACTAACCCCTGGATCCCCAGTGCCTGGCACAAAACAGGACTTTAGCAAATATTTTTTTGAGTCAACATCGAATAGAGCATTTTTGGGCATTTTGTGTTGGGCCCTGTGGCATGAGAGATTCTATTTACTATAAACCTGTGAGGCTGGTATTATAATCCCATTTTACAAGTGAGGAAATAAAGGCTTAAGAAGTCCAATGACTAGTTGAAGGACTCACAATGAATTGGGGAGGGCGGGGGAGGTGGAGATGAGATGGAGCCCAGCCTGGATACTTTAGGCCTGAGCTCTAGATGCTCCCCACAGCTTTTCAGGATGCTGGGCCTCTACCTACTTATTCTCTTGCCCTAGGTCTTCCCTGATAGTAATCGAGAACTCTGGTGAAGAGCTAACTTTTGAATGGCCTCAAGGAAACCAGAAATAGCAAGGCTGGCCATCAGTTCACATACAACTCTAGATTAATCTGAATCAAGCATAGCTCTGATTCTCTCACCTTGCTGTACAAGGCGATCTCAATGTAAACTAGCTCAGTTCAAGTTCCCTCTTCCCAGTTTCTGGCCATGTGGTCTTGGGCAAGTTACTTGGATCTTTCCAGGTCTCTTTGTGAAAAGGAACTGCTAAGCAAATAAATCTTTCCTGCTAAAGGGTGTTAGGCCTGGTGCAGTAAATAATACAATGCAATTGTAAAAAACAAGTTTGCTTTCTTGATAAACCTCTCCTTAGAGAGCTTTCCATCTAAGCTTTAGCTTACCTAAACGAGGTTACATTTTAACAAGGTGGGACAGCCTGCTAAGTTGATTTGTCTCTCAAATGACATCCCCCAATGTCCATCTTTCCCCCTTTGTCTAGGAGTTTTACAGCAGATAGTTGCGCTTGCTAACCAATGTTATCAATGTAAGACGGTTGTGTATAAAAGAAACCCTTTGTCTCTAGACAGGTGCTCAGACCTTACTGGGCTACCCAGGTTCTAAGACCTCATGCTTGTGTAATAAAACTTCTCCTGACCTCACCATTCCTGAAGTACTGTTCTTCCCCCGCCTGGGTAAAAGGCTAGAATTTATTTCTGCAACACTTGGCCTGACTAAACTTCTGAGAGCAAGTGACTGGGACCCCAACTTTTGAAAAACAAAACAAAACTAAACAAAACAAAAAATGGTGGAGTAATTAGTTCAACCTCCACAGAACTATGCGACTCAGAGCAACTCCCAGGTCATGGGAAGAGGTTATTTTTATTCTTCTAAGGACCCCAAGGGAGAATGATACCTCTTCCCACATGGTCGGGACAGAGTAGGAAAAGGGTGCCTGGATGAGTATCCTCAAGGGCACATGAGGAAGCCCAAGCTCATCCAGTCAGGACAGGCGGAGTGGACTGGCACCGGAAGGCCCTGACTTCCAGATACTGAATTTCTCCATCTGTCCCTGCTGTCTTCTCTACTTTTGTTCGATTTGGAGAGGTGTTGGGCTTGGAGAACGGGGTTCTTGGGTTAACTCTGGGAAGTTTCCCCAGAGCTCCTCTTTCAGTGGTGTAGGGTAAATGGAAGCCCTCCTGCCATTAGCATCAATGATCGACACATGTGGTCTTACATGCGTGCCTGATGGCGGCACCTGGGGTATGGTGCGGGTGTGCCTAAGTGGGTGCACCTAAGCCAAGAGACAGAGCACATAAGGGCGGCAGCAGAGGCCAGGAGGTGGCAGAGGACTGTGCAGCAGAATGCAGTAGAGACTAGCAAAGAAGAGACCATGAGTGAACACCAGAGAGCCCGGAAGGAGTAAAGATTTGCCTGGGGCCAGGAGGCCTGCCAGCCCTGCACCTGGTTGCCTCACTACAAATGGTGTAGAAAGATCATTAAAAGCCTGAAAAAGCCACTGAGAGCTCTAGGATTCTCCTTTACCAGTCTGCCCGGATCATAGAAAACCTACTCTGTCTTGCTGGCACAAGCAGTGGCATTCAGCGCATTTCTCTATGACACAGGCATTACTTATATTTAAAAGGGCAGGTTTATTACAGAAAGGAAGAGAAGAATAAAGGACACTTGCATAGACACAAGCAGGCAGAAAAAGCTGCCTTTGAAAGGGACAGTGTTGCTGAGAAGCCTGCATGGTCACAGGTGGCAGCCTTGGGAGGAGGTGCCTCTGCTGCTTTACAAAGGTAAAAGTGTTATAGAGCAGCCCCGATATTGAACGGGTTCCTGGCTGTGGGTCCTCACCCGCGCGCTTAAAAGGGACTTATGAATACTCCACTACAGGCACACACAAAAGGTTAATAAAAGGTTTATTTACAAGGGAAAAGGAAATAAGGAAAATGTACAACTCAGGGAGAAAATAGGGAAATAAAGTCTTCAATGCGTCCTACCTGATCCGACGACCTGGAAACCCAAAGTCACTCTCAGAGCTGGCCAGACGCTGCGAGCTGGCGGAGAGCCAAAATGGGGGGTCCCCCAAAGCCCACATGTCAGCCTTTATATCAACCTGGCTGCTTAACCCCACCCTCAGGTCCCAGCCACCTTCCCTTTGGTGGTGATGGGATTTGGAATTCCCAGTGTCTTTGGCTTTGGCCTGGGGTGGGGGTGGAGTCCACAAAGCCTGTATGGAATTAGCTTTAGGACATCCTTTTCCTCCTAACAAAAGGTCAGCGAAGAGAAGTATCTGCATGGTGACAGATTGGCAGCAGTACTGCTGCCCCTTGCCAGTGCAGAAATTGCCCTGAGATAGTAATTTTCTTTTTGGGAGGAGCTCACTCCTTTGTGGAGTTAACTTTTGTTAATCACTTCTAGGGTGTGACTAGGTTGATTTGTAAGGACTAGCAATTCTCTACAAAAGGCCCTCAATCTGCATAGCCCCACTGCTTGTCTGCACCTTCAGATACTCTCTGTAGCAGCAGGAGACCGGCTATAGCAGTGGGGCTTAAAGGTTTTTCATTTCTATAGCTGGCTTAATGACCATGTTAATCACGTTTACCCCCACCTCCAGCTTTTGGCCTTGTGTGAGCCAGGTTTCAGGTCTTGTGGTGCCTCCTTTCCAAATTCTTTACTCTTAAACGCCATCATCATCATCTACACGTTTTCTTTGTACCCCATAGCACCCTTGGTGGCTCAGAGATTCTAGCGTTGCCGAGTCTCCTTCAGAAAGTCTCCTACGCCTGTGGGCACCAGGCTCTAACTGAAATGGAGGCTCAGGCCTTAGGGCCTCCCAGTTTCCACCAGCACAGAGGTCGTGCTCTTTGACTGCACCGTCCTGTAACCGAAAGCAGGTTTCTCATGTGCAGAACAGGGTCACTTCCCCTGACCCGTTCGTCTGCAACAGTCAGGCACCCTGGACGGGATGCAAAAGGAGGTGGCCAGCCCCCCTCTTTGGTGCCCAACTGGCTGACTCGTCCGCCCGGGAGAGAGGAGTGTAGAGATTCGAGAACGGAACGCTGCTGTCACAGCCAGCTGCCCTCCTCTTCACGTGCGCGCACACACACACTCACACACAAACGCACACGCACACACTCGCACGCAAAAGCCTGCCCGCGGCGTGGGCGGCTTGTGCGCGTGCGTCGGCGCAGAGTCCTCGCCGCCCGCGTGCGCGTGCCCGTGCCCGAGCGGGGGCGCGCGCCGCGGCGTGCTGGCGGGAAGGCGCGCGGGAAGCCCCCGGCGGGCTCCGCTGTGGGGGAGGGAGTGCGGGCGGGCGTCGGGCGTCTGGAACGTGCCACTCTCGGAAAGGACGGGGGGGTTTTCGCGCTTCCTCAGTGTTTCTGCGCCTCCCACCCGCCGGCCCATCCGTGAGCCCCCCCCTTCCCCGCCGCCAAACAGCCCCGCGCCGCGCCCGCGCCCGCGCCCGCGCCCCGGAGCCCGGCCCGACCCCGACGCCGGCGCGGGGTGCGCGTCCTCCCGCCGCCACAGCGGGGCGCTGCGCCTCGCGGCGGGGCCGGAAATTCCCGCGGCCGCGGCGGCGGATCCCGAGCGGGGCTCGCGGCGCCGCCTTCCTCCTTCGTGGGCCGGGCGGGGGCGTCGGGCCGCGGGAGCCGGGCCGCCGGGGTGGGGGCCGGGCCGGAGCCCGCGTCTCCGAGGACAGCGGAGCCGGCGCGGGCGGGAGCCGGACGGCGGGGCTGCGCCGCGCTGGCCGCCGGGCGAGCGGGGAGACCCTGCGCCCCAGCTCCCGAGCCCCCGCCCCCTCGCGTCTCCGCCTCCTTCCCTCACACACCCCCCGGCCGCCGAGCCGGGCCTGGCCGGCGCTGCTGCTCCGCCTCCCACACTCGCCCTCGCCCCGAGCCTCCGGCCGCGCGCCCGCCTCGCGCTCTCCGGGCCGGGCCCGGCTCGCAGGTCCTTGCACACGCACACACGCGCGCACACACGCGCGCACACCCCCGGGCCGGCCCTCCCCGCGGCCCTGCTCTCGCCGTCCTTGCTCGCGCCGCGGTCAGGGGAGGATTGATGTCCCTTCAGCATCATGCAGCCGCCGCCGAGGAAGGTGAGGGCGCATTGGGGGGCTTTGGGGTGCGGGGGGGATGCGTCCTGGCGGCGCGGCCGCGGCGACCGCTGCGCCCCCTCCCCATTTCCGCAAGGGGCCGTGACCGCCGGTGCCGCGGACTTGTCACCGAGTTGCCGCCCGCTTCAGGCGGGGCTTGAACGTGTGAGGTGCCTTTCCAACGGGGGGCGGCCGCGGCTCGTGCCTTCCCCGCGCCGGAGACCCGCAGACATTTCACAAGAGTTTCGGGTGTGCATTTGTGTGTGTGTGCGCGCGCGCGCATGGCAGTGCTGCTCGCTGCAAAGTGCATTCTCGGGGCTGCAGCGAGGGGAGGCGGGGGAGCCCCTGCAGCTTTGCAGAGCCTTGTGCTTGTGTGATTGTTTAGTCTGCACCAGGTTTGAGCCCTTCAGGCGCTTGTGGCAACCCTCGCCCTTTTGCAGATTTGCAGGAAAATTGTTTGCAGCTTAACCCTACCGTGTGGCCTGCTTTTCCCACGGGGCGGCCGAAATGAAGTTGGAATAGTCACCGCCCCCCACCCTCGGGGGAAACCAGAAATTAAGGATTGAGTTGCTCTGCCTTTCTCCCTCTCCCTTTTCCTGTCCCGCCCCTTGGGCTTGGAGGCTAGGAGGCGACGGTGCAGCCCCGGGAGATGGAGAATATCTGGCACTGCGTGGCGGGTGCTGTGATCTGGGCTTGCACGACCCGGGTGGGAGTGACGCGTGCTCGGGGCTTGTCAGCAGCTTCCCCCACAGCGCCCGTAGCGAACTGTTCCACCTCCCCTTCTCCAGTTTTTCCAGGGTCTGAGGCTGTGTCCTGGTCTTTTTAATCCTGCGGATGGTCACTGGGTAGACGTCTGCTTTGGGTGCTGGGTGGTGGAGGCTGTTCTGTCCTCCCCTTGTGGGCAAACATTTGGTGAATGCTGACTTACTCCTGTCGGCTTCCTCTCCTTTATTTCTTAATCCGGGTTTCACCAGTTAAGTGAGTCTTTTTTTTTTCTTTTTTTCTTTTTTTAATTTCACACATGTACCCCCATCCCTTTGGGTAACCCCGCGCCAGCTGCGTGGTATCCAGGTCCAACTAAAACTTGGAGCCTTGGGGTCCGGGCCTGGCGGGTCCTGGCCAGCTTGCATTTGCTATCTTAGCTATTTGAAGTGGAGTCGCCACCGGGACTGGCTTGCTGGGGTGGCTTAAATGCACTGCATATGCTGGAAGGTCACTTCAGCTTTCTCCTTTGTGAGAAAGAGATTGTGATTTGATGCGCTGGCAGCGAGTCCAGGGCATCATTCTGAGACAGTGCTTTCTCGAAGCCATTATGGAATAATTTATGTAGTCGATTTGTGCAGGTAATTTCATGATTGTATAAATTTCAGTCATTAGATATTAGGTATTCTTATGCTCTCTTCTCTCATCTACCCCCTGCTTACCTCTCCTGGTGGTTAATGTTGAGTCCTTTTGGGAAGAAGTAGAAGACAAACTCTTTAAAACTCTAAGAAGACTTCCATATGTACTGAGCTTGTGCTTGAAATGGAGTGGCTGGCAGTTTAGTTTGCCACCTTTTCAATCTGTAATTTTTATACCGTGAACTTTTATTTAGCCTCTATTTCAGGATATTTAGCACCTCTTTTCATTAAGTATCTTCAGTAAACAAAACTAGGTGGTTAATAATGAATCTGTGGTCTTTAAGAGAGGTGAGAAAGCGGTATTAGTTTGACAAGTATGAAGTATTATCTGTAAGAAAAAGGACTTTTGTGTTAGTTTCATATTTATGAAAGTTTTACATAAATATATGGTATATTTTAGGTGAAGGTTACACAAGAACTGAAAAACATTCAAGTTGAACAGATGACTAAACTTCAAGCCAAACACCAAGCAGAATGTGATTTGCTTGAAGATATGAGGTAAGGTTATATAGTAAATAGTTTGAGAACGTCTGTATCTCTGTGTCAAAGAACCTTTGAGTTACCAACCCCAGGAACCGATGATGGAATTTCCTTTTGGATTTCCTGCTTTAAGGTTGTTAGAGCTTTGCCTCAGCTAGAAATTATAACTGGAACTAACACAATACAAACTTTCCTTTTATGGTAGCTCCTATAATGTACACATACTGTTATGAAAAAACAAGAACCATAACATTTTATCAGTCAAATTATAGTCATTGAATTAGAAATTCCTATTTAAATAATCTGCTGTTGAATCGTAACATTTATTTACCTTAAGGATTTCACACAGATTTTTAAACTGACACTTCTGGTTAATGGTTAAATATCTGAGTGTGAGCCAGTCAACCTCAGATCATATACTAGCACTATTAGTTAGAACATGACAAATATAACTGTCTTTGAACATTAAATTTAGTGGGAACTGTGTTTATCGTATTTAATTGTTAAAGTTACCTGTATTCACAACAAAGATAGCTTGGAATTTAATAGATAGGACATCTTAACTACCATTGTGAAAATCAGTATTTTTCCTTATGGGGGGAAGCATGACTCATTTTATTGCAAGAAAGGCCATTTTTTTTGTTTAACGATCCTGTAATGCAAACGGACAGTTCAACAAGTATTTTTTAAAAGAAGAAAGATGATTTGCATGTTGAAACAGAGTGACTGCAGTTCTTATTTACCTTTAGTAATAGATTTATCAAATCAGAATAGGTTCTGTAAACCTCATCCGTTCCCTGTTTTTCCTGTGATGCATAGCCAGCCTCCTGTTGGTTTCATAAAAATTAGTATTAACTCTGTTGTTAAAATAAAATTATATGTATTTAGATAGCTGAATTGTTTATTCCAAAGATTTTAATGTAAATAATTCCTTTTTTCCTTCTCCATATTTAATTTAGGTACTATTTTATGAGTATTTCTACTGTTTACTTGTCTTTTCAGGGTCCCTAACTAAGACACATGAATCTAGTTTTATTCAAAGGTGGATTTACCAGAATCATTCTAACTGAAAAGGAGTCTATTTTAATTCTTTTTGTTTTTCTTACAGCCACAAGAAAATTTTTAGATTTTAAATAATTCCTATGCAAGATACCTGAAACTCTCAGTATATAGTTAAGAACTCAGAGTGTTGGTTTTTTTTTTTAAGATTTATTTATTTATTCATACAAGCACTGGGTACAGTCAGATGTGCGGGAGGGTGAGAGGATTCACCAGAGCCAGAGCGGGGAGCAGAACAGGAAGAAAGACCCCGAAGTACACTGCTGAGGGGAGCAGCGGGTGGCAGAAGAGGTCTGTGTGCCATGTGGGAACCTCCCGCGGGTGGCCGGGGATTGAACCGGCGCTGCAAGAGGCTGCAGCAGCTTCACAGCAGCTTCGCAGGCCAGCGCTCAACCGCTGTGCCACCAGGGGAGGCCCAAAACTCAGAGTTTTTAACAGCTATGAAGTGAGCTAAGGTTTTTCAGTAGAAATTTATGGATAAAGAAAGAAATTTCCAAAAGCAGTTTCGGAAGGCAAAATTAGTGTGTAAATGAGAATTCTGTGGGGTAAGAGTAGTCAGTGGTTATTTTTTCTGAAGATTTCTTGTTTGCTTGTTCTCTATTTCCCCTACCTTGGTGCTGGAGCTTATGGTCAAGTGTACAAACATTGAGTCAGTCAATTCTGGGTTTGTGTCCAGGCTTTGTTACCAGCTAGCTGTGCTGACTTCTGAAAAATAATCGAACCTTTGTAAACTTCAGTTTTCTTGTTTGTAAAATGGAGCTGTTGGGTTGTCGGAAAATTTATGCTGTGTTTTTCATGTGTCGTGACTTTCCAACAACCTAATATAATGATCTCTGTAAGGACTGTGCATATCAAAAAAATGACAATGCATTAAGATATGCACACAATCACTGCTAAGTTGATGCAGGTTGTTTCTCATATTGTTACTTTTTTTTTTTATTTTATGTGTTATTTACACCATTCTTCATTTTTGTGCACTGTATGGAACCTTCCCCTTTCCTGGGGACCACCCTGTTACACTTTCTCATCTTGGTTGTCGTCCCTGTGAAATTCCCACCTCCAGTTCACCCCTCTACCATCACCGTAGTTAGTCCCTTGTGTTGTTCCCACCCGTTTTGATCCCCCCCAACCCCCCCTCCGGTAGAATGTCTCTGGTTTATAGTTACCTGTTGATTTTGATATTTACTTTATTATAATTACTTTTTTCCCCCTAAACTCTTATTTGGATCCTCTACATTCCTCCTAAAAGTGAAAACATCCAGTATTCTTTTTCTTTCTGGCTTATTTCACTGAGTATGATCCCTCCCAGCTCCATCCATGTTGCTTTGAATGGCATGAGTTTATCTTTTTTGATTGCTGAGTAATATTCCCTTGTGTATATGTACCACATCTTCTTGATCCAGTCATCTATTTGGGGCATTTGTATTGTTTCCATAGCTTACCTATTGTAAATAGTGCTGCAATAAATAGGGGTGCAGGTGTCCTTTTGAATTAATGTTTTTGTGTCCTTTGAGTAGATACCTAGGAGTGGAATTGCTGGATCATATGGAAGCTCGGTTTTTAGCAGTTTGAGGAACCTGTAAACAGCTTTCCATAGTGGTTGCACCAGTTTGCATTCCCTGCTATTGTTTACTTGTATTATGGCTGATCCCATCACATTTTGCTTACATTGTTTCAGTAATATCCTAATTACTGCATTTGTGTTCTCATATCTTTAACACCCAAATTTCTCTTTGTAAGTCTGTCTTCCACATTATCACCAGTTAGCTTTCTACAAACATTATTTATTATATATCAGGTTCTCTGTTTGTCATAGCATATATTGCCTTTTGCAGTCTAGCCTTGACTTTCCTTTCCTGGCTTAAGTACAACCATTTCATGCCTGCATAGTCTTTCTCCTTATTTCCCCTGGTCTTGCTACTCAGGACTAGTAGTTATATAATTATGCTGTCCACATTCATGCTTGTGTCTTGCTCTCTTTATTTGTTGATAGTCTTCCACTTTTTTACTTGGCAAAGTCTAGTTATTACTAATTCTTCTGGATTACCCCTTCATGTAAATTCCTTGAAGTCAGGGACCAAGTCTTAACTCATTTTTGTATCTTTGTCCCCTTTGTTTAGGCTGGTAGAATTGTTTAATGACTGTAACTGGTAATATTTAAGTATTTTTAGGTGAGCTATTTTATAAGCTTCTTTAGTAGGAGGGTATATTGGTGACTTGCACTTGTCATACTTTGATTGATGTGGACTCTTTAAAATGTGCTGTGCTAATTGACATATATGTAAATGCAGAGATTATTAGTGATCCAAGGATTAGTGGATTCTTTATTATTTTATAGGAGTCTCAATGTATTATTCTTTTGTGTTAAATGGATGGGCTGAACCCCTCCCTTCCTACATGGTTGTGAGCATAACACTTATAGTACCTCCTAAAACATGAGTTTATGTTTTGATTTGCTTTTTTACCCCAGTGATATATTGAATTGGAAGTTGAAAGTTGCCTACTCTAGGTATTCATGATAACTTCAGTTTCTTGAGTTTCTTGAGGAGGGAGGTAGTGTGACTTCTCTGGTCTGTCCTAACAAATGGCATGACCTTTAAAAATTCATTAAAAGTCTCTGAACTTGGATTTTTAATATGTAGTATGTTGTAAAGGATCTTACTTGCTTTACCTTTTTTGAGACATCCATTTCTTCCTCCCAGAAACCTCACAAACAGCACTCCTTCTTACAGTTGTTTTATACCACAACCATTAAATTGGAAATAGGAGAATTTTATGCTGGGTTATGGCTAGTTCCCTGTTCCCTCCTCCCTTGTCTTTTGGAACTTTGAAAGGAGATCAGTTATGATACAGTTTTTTTTCCTTTGTTCTCTCATTCCTCAGTCCATTTTTGTTCCAGGGATGAATTTGAAAGCTGGTGTGTTGGGAGTCAAGTATGAGAAAGAAAGATAATTCATTTGTGTTAATCAGGGACATTCCATGCTTTGGGGAGATTTTATAGAAGTGTTTCCTGTTGACTTTTGCTGTCAGGAGGAGACAAGCACTTTTACTTTCTTTTTAGTTTATTATTTTTTTCTTCTCTGCTTTCTAAGGTCACTTTATAAGTAAGTTTCTAAATACTGCCACCAATGTGTTGTTTATTAGTATTAGGTATTTAGTACTTTTTGTTCTTATAATGTGCTAAGTAGTTTCAGTAAAGAAAATTCTTTGCAGGGACCCAGAATATAATAAACTACCTCTTGTTGGACATTTTTTAAAAAATTTAATTTATATTTTTAAAGATTTATTTATTTATGCATACAAGAACTAGGGGCTAGGCCAGTGGTGTGGGGGTGGTGGTGGTGGTGAGAGGATTCACCAGAGACAGAGTGGGGAGAAGAACAGGCAGATCTACTGAAATACACTATTGAGGGGAAAAGGGAGAGGTCTGCTGAGCCATGTGGATTAGCTCTCTGGCCTGGGATTGAACTCAAACTGCAGTGGCTAGTGATAGTTTGATATGCTGAGATGTAAACGCTAGGGAGGCCCATATGAATAGTACCTCTTTGAACATTCATGTACAAATATTTATGAGTGTGTTTGTGTATCTTATATATGTGTTTTCATTTATCTTGGATATATACCTAATTGTAGAATTGCTGAGTCACGTGATACCTCTTGTGTTTAACTTTTTTTTTTCTTTAAAGATTTATTTATTTATTTATACAAGCACTGGGTACAGTCAGAAGCGCAGGAGAGTGTGAGAATTCACCAGAGCCAGAGGGGAGAGCAGAGCAGGCAGAGTGACAAAGTACACTGCTGAGGGGAGCAGCGGGCGGCAGGAGAGGTCTGCTGCGCCATGTGGGTATCTCCCTGGCCTGCCAGGAATTGAACCTGTGCTGCAGAGGCTGCGGACAGCTTCACAGCGCTGCGCTCAACCCACTGTGCCACCAGGGAGGCCCTGGTTTTTTTTTTTTTTT